GCCCGAGTTGAAGACCCGAGTTTGTAGCAAAGATGTCAGACAAGATTGAACAACAGTGTTAATTCATTCATTTACCCCCGCTTCCGATTGATCATTGAAACGCGATCGTTAGAAATTGATATGTGGATGCGGATGAGTATTTTTTTCGTTTTCAAGTAACGGTGTGGAGTTGTACAGATCGATCATTCGCTCGCTTCACCCTCATTTCATTGAATTTTGACTTCTATGTAGAATTATCTTCTTTGAATTACTCCTTCAATTGTTACATCCATGACGAAAGCTTCAAAATGATGTGAAAATGGGTGCGTACGCGACACGGAAGAAGTTCGAGCGGACTGCGCGCGCCGCGCATCCTCCCGCGTTCACCTGGTGGACCATATTTCGGCAACGGATTGATGGATTTTGATTAAAAAAATTGATCATTATTTATTACACAAAAAGGAACAACTTTTGTCATGAACATTTTCTTCTATTTGCCAATGTTTCCCATAAAAAAAAAATCATCAAAAAAACCACTTAATTTGTTTATAACTATTAATTGCACGCACTTACATAAAAAATACCACTGGATTCCGCAGTGCGGACACCGCACTAGAAGTGCACACGGGAAGGGGGTATGCGTGTGGACTAAGAATTAATAGCTAGAATTTTGCGATTATCTCACATTTTTTACGTTAAGGATAGGAGAATCTGAATGCAACATAGTGAAAATCATGATTGATTTTTTCATTTTGAATAAATACTATTCATATTCAAATACAAATACAAAATTTCAGATATGAATAAGTGAAGCTGTCACTTAATATTCCAAATTAAGTTTTAATTTTTAATTTGGTGCTGAATACACGAGATGACAATATTCTAAGCGCGGGATTATATTGATGAGCTGAACAACAGATTAACTGAATTACTATGTAAACTAACTAATAATTGTTAACAGTGTGGACACGCACTTTTACCCAAGTATCAACAAACATTGAATTCCAGAAATTCACACTGTAGAGTGTGTTCTCAAAGGAATTTAATTGTAATTACGATTAATATCTTATTCAGTGAGCATACAAATGAGAACGAGCAAATTATTTATTGTAAAGTGAAAATTTAACAGCTGGTAAATTGAAACATATGATTCTCATCGATCGTATTGTTTTTGCAACGAGAATGATTATAAAAAATTACATGAAAAAAGGAATATCGATTATAATATAATTAATTATATAATATAATTAATATAATTAATCAATGACCTTTACACTTCAGAAAACAAGATTCACAGCCTACATGCTGTGGGCTAAAGAAGTGAGACAAGAGTTACTCGAGCAGAATTCCACAATGGATTTCGCAACAATCTCAAAACGTCTCGGTGAATTATGGGCAACAGTTCCAAATCTTGAGAAATACAATTGGCGAAAAAGAGCAAAACGTTTGGCATCAAAACCGAATGCCCAGGCAGCTCTGAAAGAGCTCGCTACCTGGAAATTCTCACCACCCAGTAGCACTCGTAAGAAATTCATCAACAAAGCTGGTGAATAATTTCATTCAAATATTTCTGCATCCCTACGTACCAGATGTCGATACTAATGCAAATATTTACTGTTTTACTCTAGTTAATGGAAAGCCACAGAAGTCTCCAAGCCCTAAAAAGACTCCCCAACTGTCGTCACCCCCACGCTCGGTCAAGAGTCCCGACTTCTCACCCTCCTCTCGACATGGCAAAGACGCTCACGACTTGTCCATCGGTCCAGGAACATTCAAAGTAGCTGGTACTCAACCCCTGGACGTTGCTGCCCACCTCAAACTGCTGGGTGAAAGTCTAACGATAATTGGAGAACGACTGAAGGAACACGATGGTCAAATTGCTGTGTCTGGTAGCTTATCTGTACTCCTAGACTCCTTCCTCTGTGCCCTGGGTCCCCTCATGTGCCTTACCCAACAAATCCCAGAAGCTAATGGAGCTGAGGCTGACACGTTATCCGAAGTGCTAGATAACATTGCGTACATAATGCCCGGTCTCTAATCCATTTCTAGACCCTCTAAACCTCTTCTCTTTCGTTTGATGTTTTATTGTATTTTTGAAAAAGAAAAAATGTTTTTGTGGAGAAAATATATAAGAGCATTTGACCATGTTGTTAGAAAATACGATAATTAAAATAAATAGTAAATGGTAAATTATATATTTAATGACGATATATATGATGATTTATAAAAATAAATATAAAATACATTTATGATGAATGAGAATGTCTCATTGCTGCTGTGGGAGGATCGGTGGACACGTGCAGAACAGATTTTTGTCGCCATAGATATCGTCAATTCTGCCGACACTTGGCCAGATTTTCGGTACCTTCGTGGATGTCTGGAAATAGTCAACAGTTTAGAATAATGCACTCAACGAAGTAAGATTGAAGTCGCGTAAAAAGCCTGTGACGTGAACGGATTTCCATATACGTTAATTAAAAGTAATTTGGATTATTCCTTCAGTAATCGTGAAAACGGTCAACCAACCCATTCACACATTCGTATCGAAATATATTGGTGATCATAATTTGAAAAGTTTGGCATTGTCACTGCTATTTAGATCGAATATGACAGCCACATAGAATCTATGTCACAAAAAAGTCATGAAATTGAGAAGCCATTACGAAATTTCGAAAAATGTGATTTTTTTTGCCATTTAGACATCAAATTATGACGGCATTAACATATGACCGTCATAATTTGATGTCTAAATCAAACCAAATCAGCGTTTGCGTTGCAGACGTTGAATGCAGTGATTCTGCGATCACTTTCACCTCAAAAAATTGTATTATTTTATGAAGGGTCACGAGGGTCACCCCAGCAACACGAGGATTTTAGTAATGAGATAAATAAGGACCTATCGAAATCCCAACCGTCACAAGCCCAATAACGAAGTTTACCTGAGGGAATGCAGCTACTTCTCGAGAATAAGGCCTGTTCCAATTAGAATTGATAACTTGTTCTTGCGTGTGTGGTGCCATTTTCAACGGATTCACGTTCACATCCATCTTCCCACTCTCAATATCTCGGATTTCGCGCCTGATAGCTGCAGCAAACAAAGATAAAGCTCAAATCTTCCCCATTAAGGATGTTTAGCCATTTTCAGCAAATCTTATTTCTTCATGTTCAAGGAAAATTCTATAATTGTTTTGACTGATAGCAGAACATATGAAAGTAACTTCTTTGGTGTTAAAAAAAAATCGCAATAGTCTCGCCAGAAAAAAATAAATAATTTTTTCCTCATACACGGAGCCTTATATGGGATTTATGTTGAAATTTATAAATCACCTACTATAAGACTCTAAAAATAGAAATGAAAATAGAAGATAATGTGCAAAACTATACTGAATCGAATGGCCCGAAAAAAATTTGGGGTACCCGCGCAAAAAGAGCAAATATTTGAAAGATTCTATCCCATATACGCGTATGTTAGCGCATGCATTTGGTGCATTTTGTCCACTCCATTTCTAAATAATAAACGTGGGTTGGTGGATTGAAATTTTTACCAAAATGAAAGGAATAACTTCATCTCTCACTTGAAAAAAATCAATTTTTTTGAATACTTGCGATTTTGGATAAACATCCTTAATCCCAACAATTAATAGCATCAAACAATGAATTATCCTCACATATCAGCGCGTCACAAAATCTGTCCAATTCGATTTTATCCTCCGACTCAGTGGGCTCCACCATGAGTGTCCCAGCCACCGGCCAGCTCATAGTGGGTGCATGAAACCCGTAATCCATCAGCCGTTTCGCCACATCAACAGCTTCGATATTAGCAGTCTTCTTGAAGTCCCTGATATCAAGAATGAATTCATGAGCAACCAGTCCAGTCTCCCCCTTATAAAGCGTTTTGTAATGTTTCTCCAGTCGTTTGCTCATGTAATTGGCATTGAGAATGGCAACTTGTGTGGCTTTGCGGAGTCCCTTGGCCCCCATCATCTTGATGTACGCCCAAGAGATGGGGAGGATGGCAGACGAGCCGAAAGGGGCTGCCGATACTGTCCCAAGATCAGCAGGCAGGTGTCCCCCCTTGGTTGAATCAATGACAGGATGTCCGGGAAGGAAAGGCATGAGGTGTCGCTTCACTCCGATCGGGCCCATTCCAGGACCCCCTCCCCCGTGGGGAATGCAGAACGTCTTGTGGAGATTCAGATGGGAAACGTCGCTGCCGTAATCCCCAGGCCTGCAGAGGCCCACCTGAGCGTTCATATTAGCTCCATCCAGGTAGACCTGGCCCCCAGCCTCATGCACCATCTCACAGACATCGCCAATGGTCTCCTCGAAGACACCATTAGTCGACGGATACGTTATCATGAGGCACGACAGGTCCTTTCGATACCTGTCAATCATCTCCTTGAGGTGCGCAGTGTCCACAGACCCATCTTTCCGGACGAAAATAGGCTCCACTTGCATGCCTGCCATCTGGGCTGAAGCAGGATTCGTTCCGTGGGCTGATATGGGAATCAGGCAGACCTTTCTGTTGCTGTCGTTGCGGGACTCGTGGTAACACTGGATTGCACGGAGCCCTGCGTATTCCCCTTGGGCTCCACTGTTCGGCTGGAAGCTTATGCCGTCGTAACCGGTTATGGCGCAGAGGTCTTGCTCAAGTTGCGTGAACAGGTCCTTGTAGCCAAGTGCTTGCTCCACTGGGGCAAAAGGGTGCATGTCGGTGAAGCCTTGCAGGCTGCAGGGCATCATCTCGGTGGTGGAGTTCAGCTTCATTGTGCAGGAACCCTGGTGATTGGGTCAATAATTAGGGTTTGAGAGAGGTTTTTAACTTTAAGGGACGAAGGGAGGAAGTTTTGGTACACGCAGAGAAATGTTCAGTCATTATGGAATCGACACGGAAAATTTAAGTGACGGTATCGAAATTTTTCACGGAAGATTCAGGTAAAAATTACGGAACGCTCTGGAAAAATTCAGTGACAGGTCTGTAAAATTTGCTACAACCACATTTCCCTCCGGAATTACGGGAAAGTTATTGAATATTTCTCTCTCTCTCTCTTATTGAATATTTCTCTCCGTGTAATGAGCCCGAAAATGAAATGTTGAATTTCAATGATTTGAACATGTTTCATGACCTCTTGAGTCATCCTAAAACGTTTTTGACATGTCTTCAGTAATGAATTAATTTTTTATAATTAATGCGTCTTCATATAACTTCATTCTAATTGAATGTTATTGTCGCAACGGTTGCTCAGTTATTTGGATGAAACTTTCAAAATTTGCTTTTTTTCTGGTCAGCAGAAAACAGGGAATCGGTCGGGAAGTTATTAGTTCGACCCGTAATGGATCACTGCACCGATTTTTTTCTTCAATATGTTGTGAATGAAAGGAGGGAAATTTCAGATGCATATTTTGAAACTTTAGAGTTGATAAATGTCAAATTTTACATTTTTAGACTCATTTTTTGTATTCTTTTTTTCCCACGTAATCTGTTTTTTACTATGTTCAAAAATTGAATAATACGTTTTGCTCATAAAAAATCATGTTTGATGATTTTTTATTTAGAAAACAGAAATGTAAAATTCGAATTAATATCATGACTTGAAATTCAATAACTGTCTCACCAATGGTATCATGCTGTGCACCAAGGACACATCCTTATTCTCCAGAGCTTTCATATACCGCACGATTCTAGTCTCCGAATGATGCATATTGAATACTGGATGCTGTAAATACGCAGTCTTACGTTGAAATGAGGACTTCAGTAAATCTTTATCTAGCGTCTGGGTATCGACGATCCCCCGAACTGTTTGATTGCTGTTAAACACTCTGAACAGATCATTGATGTCCTCCGGTAAGCTAGTTTCATCCAGGGAGATGCCCACGGTGCCATCGTCATTGTACCTCAGATTGATCTTCATATCTTCGCAATTCTTTTTGATCACCTCCAGAGGTTCCTTCGGAGTCACTGTAATCGTGTCGAAGAAGTATTCGTTATTTATTTTATTCCCAGAGAGCTCGAGACCCTTCGCTAGAACTCCCGTCAAGTGATGAACTCTCGTGGAGCTGTCTCTGATGCCCTGAGGTCCGTGGTACACAGCGTACATCGCCGACATGTTCGCCAGTAATGCTTGGGCTGTGCAGATGTTGCTGGTGGCCTTGTCCCTTCTGATGTGTTGCTCTCGCGTTTGGAGGGCCAGTCTGTACGCTTCCTTTCCATCTGCGTCTCTGGTGACACCGATCATTCTGCCTGGCATCAATCTGACGAACTTCTTGCGACACGCGAAGAAACCTGCGTGGGGTCCACCGTAACCGAGAGGCACACCAAATCGCTGGCTCGTTCCGATGCAAATGTCCACTCCGAATTCACCAGGGGGCTGGAGAATGGCTAGGGAGAGTAGGTCCGCTGCTGCGCACACTAATGTCTGGAATGAATATTTTTATTTTTCATGTTGTTCTTCATTTCCATGTGGTAGCGATTTGTTTTGGGAATGAATGAGAGAGAGTTGAAAGATCTAGAATGTAGGAAGAATGAGTGCAGAAGGAGTGAGAATGTTCTGGAAGTCTGGAAGGTTTATAATAGGGAGAAGATACAGGGAGAGTTGAGTTCAGTTTGAGTTCTGATAGTACTGAGTTGACAGAACGTGTGAGAGTTGAGATAAATCCGATGGAGACTTTTGTATTACTTACTTCAATTAATAAAGAGCTAAAGAGCTTCATTATTACTTTGAAAATAAAAATGGTGTGTTAAGTTTGTATAATTATAATTTCTAACACATGTTATCAAATAATTCGGGGTGTGGATCACGGGAGAGTTGGAAACTCAGTAAACCATACAAAAAAAAAATCAAAGAGAATTAGAATTTAGAGATGAAAAAATCCCGCGCCGATACTAGTAGCTATTTTCGCCATAAGGCTGAAAAGTTCTTTTCGGCAGAGTGACGAACATAATTTTTTTTCACAATGTCCGTAAACGGTGTATGACGGACACGAAGAAGTAGGCGATGACAGAACCCGAATATTTGAAGCATTACGATCTCATAAATCCTTGATTTTCCATTATTGATGGAAATTGAAAAATGGGAATTTTTATCTAACTTAGGTATGTTAGAACAATATAATAGGAATAGTTTAAATTCTGTTGAGTTTCGAGTGAAATTGTATGACAATGTTATTTGAAACCCAATTAGTATTTTGCCTATTGCTATTTAAAACTTCCATACGATCTTTTGCGAGATATTTTTCCAGAAAAAATCCAACAGATTTTTAGCTTTCCATAGAAATTTTTAGGAATAAATTTTCCAATTTTTTGCCATCTTCTTTTGGTTTCTCATGATAAAATCCAAGAGAAAGAATTTGAAAAATTCACGGGCACGCGTTCTCATGGAAAAAATCAGAACAGATGAGGTAAAATATTAACATCTATTGACTTTTTTAAACTATATAGAAAAATCGTACACTAAAGTTGCATAATTACCGAAAAATATCTGAAAAAAATAAGATTCTCTCATAAATGTCAACAAACCTTTCAGTTCTGTTGCAACTACAAACAAGTGGAACTTGCGCGATTCAATAGCAACAAATCCCACAACAATTAAATGTGAAATATCAATGAAAAATGTCAAGAGCCAGTGCATTTAATGATCCATTTCTCAACTAAATAGATCGTCACATTTACCAACGCTGTTCCTTCAAAATTTCTCCATTGAAATGATTATAAAACAGTTAGGGATCTTCATCAATTTAATTACCCCATCAGCATGTGCTTTCTTCACGACCTCCTCATAATTGTGAATAGCTCCAGTGGTGTCCGGATACTGCAGCAGTATCCCAGCCACTTCCTTAGAACTCGTGTCCACGTTAAAAACATCACCAACTTCGAGGCCCAATCCCAGCGAGCCAATTCTGGTTGCAATTACACTTATCGTTTGGGGATGGACTTTATCAGATACGAAGAGCTTCTTGCGCTTGTTGTGACGATGAGCTAGAGCTAGAGCCTCCGCTGCGGCTGTACCCTCGTCCAGCAGCGAGGCATTAGCAACTTCCATGCCAGTCATGTCACAGATCATGGTTTGGTAATTAAGGAGACTCTCAAGGCGACCCTGGGCGATTTCTGGCTGGTATGGGGTGTACTGGGTTGTCCTGAGGGTTTTTTTCAACAGGGGAAGATAGTTAATCCCAAACAATCATTGAGTTCCAAAAAATCAAATGATTGAATTTGAAAATTGGATGAAGTATAAGATATATATTTACTTATTCCGAAGTAGAACGCAAAAAATATTATTTCTGAAGAAAAAGAACACGTGTTGAAGTGAATATAAAAATGTTGAATAAAGAGTTTTTTCGGGTGCATTGAGAGATTTTGAATGAGAGGGTTTACAACAATATCAATTTTTATTCTAATAAAATGCAACTGCAGTTAAGGTCCTAAAAACCAAATAATTTAATCTGATATTTTGGATGTTGGATAAAATAGAAGATACATATTTACCCATTCCGAAGTGTAACGCGAAAAAATGCGTGTTCATTATTTCTCATATTGTAAAATATAAGAATTTCAAATAAAGTTTTCCTAGGTGGGCTGGGACATTTAGAATTGAACGAGAAACTGTCTATTATTTTTCCCCGTAAATAGACACTGCCATAAATATTATTTAGTCAGCTGAAATAATTGACTTGCAATAACTATTCAAAATGGTACGTCCATTTGATTTTTATGAGATAGTGAATTTCAGCTCTGAAATTCATCGATGACTGAATGATTCTAATTGCGAATAAAATTTACCATCCAGGATTTTCGAATATATTCCTCATTATAGTGTGTGGGACACAGCAGTTGTAATACCCCATACCAATGTACGTTCTCCAGACTTCATTTTTCTGGGACATCTGAGTAATTTTCTTCATCAAAGCGTACTCAGCTGGGGAAAAATACATATGTCACGTGAGTAGAATTCATAAGTTTATATAAACCAGGATTATGACAACGATGGGGATGGGAAAAACGGTGGAAGGCTTCGCTTCACTGAATATCACGTGAATTGAGATTTGAGAAACACGAGCATGACTTGTGACCCGAGATATTATTATCAGTTTGTAGACCATTTGTTTGTCACGCGACGTATGTAATGAACGTTATGGATATCGAGAGATGACGGAAAATTGAGACATCAGAATTCGCCTATGACCTTCCCTCAATTTCACAATTATTTACTATTGTTTCATCGAGGCATGGAAAATATTATCGAGAATTGATTACGAATTAGCGATGACGCAGCAGCCAACGTTTCCCATGGATTGTACACTGAATTCTCATGCGGATGAGACAGAGAAAAAGCAGTTGTGCACTGATAGAGAAATTTATTTTTAATTTTAAGTAAAATCTTTTGAATAATTAACAACAACCTATTTATATGATAATTTAATTGTTTTTTTACTGCGAAATGAATAGATTTTATGAAAATTGAATGGAAACTTGATAGAACGATTAAGAGGCTTGGAAAATTCTGACGTGAAGTGAGAATTTGAACTTCTATTCTTGTTGAATATAAAAGGCTCATTGTTTTTTTTTAATTCTCAATATGGGATGGGATTTGATGAACAATTTCTTCTTGAAAGCAATTCGAAATAAGTGCAAACAAATTTTTTTCTCCCAGAAGGTTAAAAAATTATAAAGATTAATGAAAACTTGATACACTGATCGAAGGATTTAGCAATCGATTTTCTATCAGTGTGGAATGATGGAGATGCTTAAGAAATCCTCATAACTCAGGTGATATTGCCTTAAATTTCTAGGTATTTTCAAAGTAAATTCAATGCGATTTCCCATTTTCCAAATGAATGTAAAGTGAAAATTGAAACTTCTTCTCTCCTTGAATGTGAAAGATCTCGATTCTTTTACGAACTCCCAAAATAAAATGGAGATGTCACAAAAAATGTGATAGAGATCGATAAAACTATTGATTCAGACGAAATACACATTATCCTAATTTAGTATTTTATTTCAAATTTCAAGATAAATATTTTACTCTCAATTTATATTATAGATAGAAAAGTTGTTGCGATTTCATTCAATGTTGTATTTAATTTGAATGATTAATTCCAAAATTTAGGAGCTCATTGAAACTTCTACATTTCTTTACTATAAAAAAGTTGGATTTCCATGAATTTTCAACACAAGTTGAATACTGATGAATAATTTCATCTTAAATCTTAATCAAAATCACAAGCTCGAACATTTTCATATGAATGTTGATTGAATTTCAATGAATTCTGATCAGTGCAGTCATTCAGAACAATGGAATATTTTTCACAAAAGTCAGATCATTTTTCGGAACAAGCGATCATCTGGAAACGAACAATTTAAATCAGAAATTGATCAACAATTTCATCTCGACTCCAAATAAAGATCCCACAATTGCTCATTTGCATTCGAATATCAATTAACTTTCAATAAATTATGGTAGTAATTAAGAACAATATCAACTAATTTTTCGATGCATAGAATCATTTTGCAGTTTATAATAGTACTCACTCATGGGATTTTCGATGTCCAAGTCCTTGTCTCGCCTGATCCTCGCAGGAACTGCAGTTTTCGTCAGGTCCTCGAGTGACTGCAGATTTCACGGCTTAGTACACAGAAAAAAATTCCCCTTCTCCAAAGACAACGATATTTACCTCAAATCCAATAGTTCTCAACATTTCCTTCTGATCACAATCCCTGGGGCCAATGTGCCTAGATTGAAACTCCTCCCTCTCCGGCAATAACTCTTCATACTTCATACACCTCTGATGACTCATCACCAAACTTCTTGAGAACTTCTTCGAGCTCTTCTGCATCGACACAAGTCTCGTACATCGAGACAATCTCAACGTGGACTGCATTATCGTATTGTTGTCACCGAACACAACAAAAGACTGCCAGTGAAAATTTCGCACTGAGTGATAGGAACCCACCAAGAGAACTTATATTCACGTGCGGCAGTATCTCAACATGATGTCACAACATTTTAAAGATTACGGCCTGAACTATGTTGACCCTGACCCACGAGATCCAGGGCGTTGAACACAAAACTATTTTCATGTTGATAATTTTCGATTTGAAGTAAGAAAAAAAATGTTCTTGAGACAATAATTATCTATCAGTGATAATATTCCTGGTCTTCTCAAAGAGCCTATTTATTCTCTTTTTTCTAAATAGCCATTGTGACAAAAAATAAATCGATTTGCACTTGTATTTAGCATTGAGAAGCGAAAATTGAATGATAAATTGATGATTAATCATAGGAAGTATTCATTTCTGACATGAAACTAATCAGTAATGATATTCTCATTCTATTCAGAGAAAACCCTATTTATTTTTGTTATTTTTATATCTATTTGATCATAAAGAATAACAAAATGAATTTTCATTTTATACTTGGAGTTGTGAGACTAAAAAAATCATGAATTGATAATAAATCTTAAAGTTTATTCACGAGATGAAACGCATCAGGTATGTTATATACTTTTTCATAGAAAAAAAACTCTTCTTTTGTGAAAATTCAATAACTATTCGATTGTACCAAAACTAATTTACTTCTCATTCTGCATTTAGAGTTTGGAAATTTAAAAAAATGCTTTTCTTGAGACAACTATTTATTATTAATATTTAGATTCTTTTCAACAAGACTATTTACTCTTCCTGAATAAATAGTCGATCCTAACAAAAGCTAAATCCAAAATAAGACCAAAATTTGAATATTAAATGGTTAATTTTCAGAGAAAGTATCAATTCGTAACATAAACCTAATTAGTACTAATATTCTCATTATATTTGCAGAAAAAGCTACTATTGATGTCATTTTTATATCTTTTTAATCGTAAAACATAACAACATGAAGTTGTGAAGCTCAAAAAATCATAAATGAATGATGAATCATACCGAATAATTCTCAGATGAACCGAGTGCAGAATTTTGTTTTTCTTCATAAAGAAAACTATTCATTTGTGTAAATTGCAGAACTGTTTGGTCTTACATTCTCTATTCAGAGTTTACAAGTTGAAAAAAAATACAATAAATTCATATGTAATTAAAAAAGTTATTTATTCCTGAGATAAAGCGAAATACCATAATTCACATCATAAACTTATCCTTCTGTTGCGTCAATATTTTAGCTGAAGACTTGGCGTCAAGGAAGAGTCCCCCCACTTCTTCAATATCTTCTTTCTTGATGGTTGTCCTGCCATTGACTTTGGCTGTGAGAGCTGCAGGTGTCAGTAATTGAACGACATAACGCAGAGTAGTTGTGGTTCCAAGATCCCCAAGTGCAGTGAACGCCTCGTCCTCCAGTTGAAGGCCCTCGGTGACAGCTCTGAGCTTCACAATCTGTTCAATTTCTGATTTGGAGTATGGAAGTGTCTTGATGATGAGGAGACGATCGAGAAGATCGAGGGGAATGCCATGGGGTGCAACGATGTCTTCTGTTCCCCTGATGACACAATGTCCTCTGTTTGTGGCGAATATGACAATGGGGGCGATGGCACTCTCGAGGGACCGATGGAGATACGTAAATGTCTCTATATCTAACATGTGAACCTCGTCGACGAAGAGAACCCCCGGAACTAGCTCTGCTATCCCCTGATCGATGTATTGATTCACTACTTTGTTTATCTCCTTTCTTAGTTTGTCTGGAATTATATTAATGTATTTTTGAGTAAGCAATAATTTAACGAAACGTAATAATTAATAATTGGTGATTTAATGCGATAAATAAAAGCTTTAAACTACATCATAATGCTTTTTTTTGTTATTAGCAAAAATAACTATACTATATGCTATACAAGAGCAATTTCTCACTTGTTCAATTTTCGAATTTCTTTGAAAATTGGTTGTCCCACGATAATTAAAAAAAATATTCTGAGTTGATTGGAGGACGGCTTAAAAATTATTTCATTTGTTTTATTTGAAGCCGATAGCAATAATCGTTAATTTTATTTACTTGTAAATTTGTGAAAAATATTGTATTTTTAAAAAATCAAGAATTCTGGAGATATTCTTGAATATCCCGCTTCAAATGAATTTAATCATAATTTAAAATGTTTGTTTGAATGCTATTAAGTCGAAGTTAAAAGATGCTTCCGGTAACTATATTGATTGATTTGATTTTGATGTGAGCTGATGGTTTCTTCAAATGTGATGTTTCAAATTCTTTCAATTATGTATAAAAAAATTCGATTAACCCTTTATCGAAGGGCTGAAGGGAGAGAGAACCGTAAAAAATATAGATAATAAGAATAATAATGATAATAACATTCAACTAAGTTGAAAATCTGACAAAATTAGTTAAAAAGAATTCAATAAAATGAAATAAACAATGCCAATTATGCAAATGTATAATGCAATTATAGATGTAAAATTATTAGCAAAAATAACTATACTATATGCAATACATGAGTTAAAGGTAAGATATATTACCAGTAATTTCCGTCTTCTTCGGCTTCATCAATTGCCCCATCATCGACATTATGTCCTGTCCCCCCTGTGGTTTAGCATTGGCCACATCGAGATCATGAAGTGTCACATCCTGAATGACCTCCTTCTTCTTGTGGACATCCCCCTTAGGTAGTGGCACATACTCCTCAGCCTCGAGATCGAACTCTGTAGCATAATTGTCACTCCTTCCCTGTCTCTTGACAGCTCCACTGTTGGCCTCGATGTAGATCACATCCCCAGTCTCGACTTTTTCCTTCTGCAGTGATTGATAAATCGACGGATCCAGCTTCAATTGCTTCGTCCCCTTGGCTGTTTTCAGTCCAATAATGACGTGGGACACAGTCTTGCCATATCCTCCCATGGGGTTCTCTGTTTCAACAGGCGTTAATTCCGTCACTTCACCCTCGTAAACCTCTTTAGTCTCTTTTATCCTGAGACCAATGGCTCGTCTGAAGTTCTCCATGAGGACTTCAGTCTTCTTTATCTCCGAACTGTAGACCTCTGATCCCACCATTGGACAAAATGGCACTTTGTTGCCTAGTTCCTGGGCAATGGCCAGGGCAATAGCAGTTTTACCAGTACCTGGGGGGCCTGCCAGGAGAACTGCACGACCTGCCATTTTCTTAGACCTTATCAGGTCCACAATGATACCAGCAGCCTGAAAGTAATTCCTCGAATCATTAATTATTCTCTAAAAATACGAATTCGTTGGAGTTTATGGAATTGTTGATGATTTGGGCTTTCTAACCTCTCGTGCCTGCGCCTGACCCACGAGGCCGGCTGCTGATTGCATCGCTTCTCCGCTCTCATCAAGTCCTAAACCCTTTATGTGCGTGTGGGCTGATATTCTCTGCGTTTTTGCAGAGCTCTTCACCTCTTCGATCTTCATCTTTGCGTTATTCTAGCAGTAATGTTCACTGGGTTGTGTTCAGGCACGTTTTCGCGATATTGACAAAACAATCGAATCAAATCGAATGGGGGGAAGCCATTGCATGTTCGAATGGTGGGAAATATGAACCGATGATTCCCGAAGACTACAGTCGCCGGTAATGACACTAATACGAATAAACTCCAGTTGGGTCGTTGTGTATAACGAGAAAAATAAATTCTAAAAGCTTCAAATAAAATTATTCTTCATTGAAAAATTTTCCCGTGAAGTCTAAATTTGGTGAGTGTAAGAAGCTGATCCATTAAAGTCTTTCTTCAATTATTTTTTTAAACAATAGTCTCTCGTTTGACTAGGTCGTCTCGACATAACGCGATATTTTTTAAATACCCAGAAACATAAATTATTTGTTACAAAAGTTTGACACTGACGATAAATTTCATATTGGGCATAGAATTTTTGTTTATTTTTCTGATTTTTTTAGATTTGTTCAAGATTTTAATCTTCTTCTGGATCTCGAAAAGGTCATTTCTTCACAAGACTGAGTTATTTTAACACTTCTAGATTAATTATGATTAAAAAGATTAGAATGACGATTGAAGAAAAACTTAAACAGAATATTTCTATTCATATTAACTTTAGTTTAGAATTTATTTCAGATTAATCATCAAAATTAAAGTAATGTTTATACTAGGGGAGGGTGGGGTAAAATGGACACTCTAGACTTTTTTAGAATTATTCATAATTCAGCAACAAATTTATCAATTGAGCGCAGTTAGGCTCGTCACAAAGGGAAAGAATTGTTCTTTGTAGCGAAAAAAAATTATTAAATTACATCAACATTTCAACCCCTCATTAACATTTGAAAAAAGTCAAAAGTGTTCGTTTTACCCCAACCTCCCCTACTTCAAATACTTGGAAAGCGGTGATTTCTCGTTCTAGGGAACATCTAGGGATAATTCGCCGCACCTCAAGCTTACCCCGTCCACTCCAGCAACTCAACGGTCAAAACAGCTTTTGTGTTTGAAACGTGTGGAGCTCGCTTGGAACAAACTCTCGCATTTCATGCTGTCTCCTCTTAATTTTATAAATACCGACCGACTACAGTGCAAAAACTAAGATTATCACATGTCTCTACAATCCCGACATTGAGAATAAAATATTATGAAGGTAAATACAAAGAATTTCGTCAAAATTCTCTCATCATTTTAGTCGAGAAGTTGTGTTTACGTTGAGACATTCCTCTCTGCTCGCCCATTTACCTCCAAAAATTGTTCTATTTTATCTTCAACAGAGACTTGGGTTCACCAGACCGAGGAGTTCATTATAAATAATTGACGAACTAAAGACAAATATCAACGAAATCAACGATGGATAATTTTAGAAACAGACAGAATGCAGAAATGAGAAGTAAGTGATCCCTCATGGTCAATCCCTTTGTTGTCATTCTCCCATACCTATTTTTGTAACCCACTTCTCCATTGAATTCCAGAATACAATTTATCATTGAAGAATCGTCTTCACAACAAGGTCCCACAGACTGTGAACCCAAAACACAACAGAATAAGTGACACATCTGATCCAGGTGATTCCCAGAATTTTAAATTGAGGGTTTCTGACAGTTTTTACGTTGAGGACTCTGACGAAGAGGAAAAGCCAATTAAAGTCGACGTCAATAATAAGGCAAACCCGAAGAAAAACACAAGCGAAGTTATTGTTATCAGCGACTCCAGTGACGACGATGGAATGCCAGAAGGTCGAGCGTACAATTCCTCAAGAGAAAACAACAATAAACAAAATTCCTCAAGGGAACTGGAGAGCATTGAGGTGTCTGACGAGGATGACGAGGTGTTCACAGGCTCGCTGACATATGGACAATCCACAGGGTCAGAGGGTAGATCAAAGAGCCAGAGCAGTGCCCATTACTCATCAGACTCCACAAACTTTGAATTAAAATTCGAGAATGATAAAGAGAGTGTGGTTGACTCTTCCTACACAACCCCAGCTAAAAAAGTCCTCTCAATAAGGGGAGGATTGACCTCTGGTGCTTCCACAATCACTTCAGAGAGACCTGCAAACCCAAATGACCCCTTAACAAACAGCAGCAAGAAATTTGGAACCCCAGGATCTACGAAATTGAGCCACTGCACAACTCCATTATCAAAGAAGGAAGCAAAAAACCTGATGAAAGTCATCAGATCCAAACGAATAGAGTCTCCACTGGTGTCTGAGAATAATCATATTATCGCTGAGACAGACTCTGACTCTGTTGTGACTGACGAAGACCCAGATGGCAAGGTGTCCCACCCAGCCTGGATAGACGACAGCGATGCAGCAGCTTCACCCGTTCCAAAACCCTCAAAAACCCACGTGACAAGATTTCTGAATCCAGCAGACAATGCTGACTGCCTGTCAGACGAGAAGAAGAAGGAGATATCACGATGGCTGCTGAACAATTGCCCCAGCGAGAGGAGTGACGACTCCATCAGTAACATCTCAGCTAGCAACAGGAACAGTAGCATCAGCTCAGGGCACAGGAGCCTGGAACGACTGGAGATGGACTACGAAACTCCGAATAATCGACAAAAGTTTCGAGACAAATCAAACACTAGAGTGCAGAATCCTCTGGTGAATTCGGCTCGAGGCAGCCCTCGTCAATCCCTGATGGACGATTACTTGAAGAAAACCAAGGGCAGTAAATCAACATCCAGGAAATACACTCCAATAGCTATTAAATCGAAGACTGTCGCTGTCTCTCCAGCTGTTGACACCCCCAAACCTAGACTCGATGACTGTGCAGACATCCTGGATAAATTGTATGGAGCAGAGTGGAGGGAGGCTGATGTCTTCCCAGTAACAGAACCCAGAAAGAAAGTGGTGTTGAAGGACAGGGGAGTCCAGACTGAGTGCATTAAAAAACCAAAGAAACTCTTCAGCCACTCTGAGCACAGTTCCAACGACGAGGGCTTCCAGAACTTCGTCAGGGACATGAGGCCTAATCTGAACTCCACGAAGAAGTTACCCAAGAAGTCCAAGTACAGGGATAGCTTCATCGTGCACTCGTCAGAGTCTGAGGAGAGCACTGGGGACACGACTTACATGACAGCTCTGACAAATCCTAGACTCTCTGGGCCAAGGAATGCTGAGAGGAGGGAGACTCCAATGAGCCTGAACACAATTAAAGCCATTGAGATTTGTGACTCTGATACTGAGGAGGACACCCCTGTCAGGAAGAATGTGGACAACAGGAAGAAACTTGTATTCAGTGATGACGAGAATGACCACAGCTCAGAGACCAGTGAGTACGATCCTGATGACTTCGTGCCACCCAAGCTCGAGGTGCCTAAGACAACTCGACCCCTGGTGAATAAATCAAAGATTCCAACGAGAATATTCGGTGCTCCTAAACCTGATGTGAAACGTGAGAAACCCAAGAGTTTTCTGGCTTCACTGTCGGCATCAGTTCCTCTGGAGGAGTGCCACACAGATGCCAAGAGGTATCGTCTGAATTTCAAGAACACAAAGGAGGAACTTGTGAAGGTCCTGTACAAGATATACAACGAGAAGATTTTTGATAATAAATTGCCACCTGACATGCTCATCGAGTGGAATATCCGTATGCGAGGGACTGCTGGGTTCTGCTACAATAAGAAGGTCAAGACTCTGACTGGGTTCACGAGATCATCGAGGATTGCTCTCGCCACGAAGATCGTGGATAAGCCGGATAGACTGAGGGACACGTTGGTGCATGAGCTGTGTCATGCAGCCACTTGGCTCACTAATGAGATATCTGATGGGCATGGACCCTATTGGAAGGCCTGGGCTGTCAAGGCAATGAAGACTTTTCCTGAATTACCACCGATCAAACGATGCCATGATTACGAGATTGCCACCAAATTTACGTATCGTTGTACGCAGTGTGGTTACAGGTATTTAGAATATTCGTGATTATTTATGGTTGCTTGGGATTTTTTATTTCAGGGGGAGTAACAGTAGTAACTATTTCGAGAAACTATTTCGTTAAAAAATTAGATGATTTTATAGGGAATACTGCTCATTTTTGTGATGGAATTCGGGTTTTTTCGAGTGGAAATGTTTGCGTCATTCGACAAAAATGTAACATTTTCCATTCATTTCTTTTGCCTGTTTCTCATCAAAATTTCCAAAACATTTCATTTCGCGCTGTTATTATTCTTTTTAATATACCTTCAAAAATTTACAAAAACGGCGGTAGAATAAAATCGTTAATTTTGTTTTAGTATTGGACGTCATTCGAAGTCATTGGACGTGCAAAAAAAGCGTTGTGGCTATTGTTTCGGTCGTTTTGAGTTGCTGTTGAATCGAGTAACTAAATCGGGAACAATGAAGCAGATCCCAAAGACTCCAAATACGAAGGGGCCCTCGGGCTTTGCATTATTCGTCAAGGAGAATTATTCATCAGTAAAGAACGAACGCCACGGTATAGCCCACAAAGAGATCATGCAATTACTAGGTCAGCAGTTTTCAGCCATTAAATTATCAAAGCAAAATAATAATGATCGTAAGAGTCCAGAAGAATCTCCATAATCATCGTACTCATAATTTGTGCATAATTTTTTTTTTTAATTTGTATATAGGTAGAAATTGTACATTGGATAACTGTTTTAGCATCAATGTTGAGCAATTATGTTTTTTAAATTGTAAATAATTATCGCTTGCAAATTCCTCCGCATTCTAGGCTCGCGAAACACACATCGGTATATGTATAAAACAAAGGACGTGTATTTAATCAGAAATATGAAGACCCGGAAGATCGACGACGATTTAATCATCTAGGGGAGATATCACGAAGATAAACTTCTATTCACAGTGATTCGTACCTGGAAAAGACTGGAGCTTTATTGAATTTCATATAAATATGTTGGAGATTGCTGAACGATTTTTTACTTATTTTTTCGTTCCCAAGGCTTTTCAAGTTGAAATCGTGCATTTGCTAGAGGGGCAATAGCAAATTTCTCCGCCTTTTACACCCGCAGATAACAAGCCTGACACGGTATAAATATACATAAAGAACGTGTGTTCAATTAGAGATATAGAGATTTAGAACAACGACGAGGTTTCCAGAATCTGGGAGAGATATTACGAAGAGAAACTTCGATCCACAGGGATTTAAATCTGTAAAAGACTGGAGCTTTATTAAATTTCATATTAATATGTTGAACATGAGCAACGATTTTTTAATTCATCACCCATCCCTAATTAGCGTTATGAGAGTGATTGATGCAAACTGGTGAAAAGAATAAAATTACAAATTTCTCTGCATTTGAGACTTGCAAATGACACATGTCCTAAACAAAGCATGTGTGTTCAATCAAAAAAATTATAAATTTAAAGAACAATTATTTTGTATTTTATTATTTTTTTAAAGACGTTTTAAGGATCTGAAACAGTTATTACAGTTCGAATAAACGCTATTCTATTCTATTCTATTATTGCAGCAACCCCACTGCAAGCTCCAAGCTTTTCAATTCGAAGTGCTAAATCTCTAGGGAAACAGAATTGTCCTAGGGAAATCAGAATGGCAATAAATCCCTAGCCCAGTTAAAATTCAATTAAATCCAAACAATTCTTTCCGATAGTCTTACAGTATTATTTCCAACACTCACTGAATATCAACCCGAATTACCCGATTATTTCACTAAAAACGAACATTTTATATTTTCAATTTCGATTACCTCGTTTGTAATCTAGTTCCACACAATTCTCATTCGTTTCTCCCCCTGAATCAGCAAATTCAGACTATTGACGATTAGCAGAGGCACGACAAATACACAGACCCCCGCCCCCTGAAAAATTCTACTTTTATCCATGCCTCCGGCATCAAATACACAATGTTAAACATAATTATAATTAAATATGTTAAACATAAGTACAGGATTTCTAATTCACTATCAATTATGTTTAATTGGCATCTTGATGGTAATTGTAAGCTCAAAGTCTTCAATTCGAGAATACAAATTTGTTAAAAGCACAGAATTAAAAATTTTCCCTCATTTCTCGCATATTCCAGACTTGCAAATGAATAAATAAAAAACTGGACCAATATAAACAACGGATGTCTGTTTAATTAGAAAAATGAAGAAGTGAGAACGCAATTATATTTTCTGGAAGAGATCTAAAAGATCTGGAAGAGATCTAACGAAAATAAACTCCAAATCTCATTGATTTGTCCCTTTAAAAGACCCGAGTTCTATTAAATTTATAATTCAATACCCATCTCCAATTATTATTGCAGCAACCCCACTGCAAGCTCCAAGCTTTTCAATTCGAAATGCTGAATCTCTAGGGAAACAGAATTGCCCCGAATGGCAATAAATCCCTAGCCCAATTAAAATTCAATTAAATCCAAACAATTCTTTCCGATAATATTACAGTATTATTTCCAACACTCACGGAATATCATCCCGAATTACCCGATTATTACACTAAAAACGAACGTTTTATATTTGCAATTTCGATTATCTCATTCGTAAATCTAGTTCCACACAATTCTCACTCGTTTCTCCCCCTGAATCAGCAACTTCAGACTATTGACGATTAGCAGAGGCACGACGAATAACACAGCCCCCCCACCCTCAGAAATTGTACAGAATAACTCAGGGGGAGCAGTAGCGCACTCTAAAAACAGTGAAGCTGAGAAGGTACGAAAAAGATAGTGAACGAGTGCCGAGGAAACAGTGGGTAAGAAGTTAATATCCGATGGTGTCCATGTCGCTGTGGTGTTCAAAAAGGACCACGTTGTCCCATTGTGATTGTAGTGTTTGTCCATAATTCAGGGACACTTAATGATCAAATTGTACGAGTATTTTTAATGTGAACGATCCAAGTTTTATCAGTGATTGTGCTTATGTAGAATGTCGGAATTAAAACGTGTCGCACCACAGACCCTCGAGTTATCTAGTACCTTGAGTAATGCAACTAAAAAGGAGAAGGGTGAGAAGGGCAAACGGCTCGCGCCCTCATTTCGCTTTGAGTTGTTGCTCGATGATAAAAATGAAGGTGGATACTCGGAATTCACTTATGCACATTTACTTAAGGCTGCTGAGGTCAGTATGACAATGGGTTATATTTTCATATTAATTTGGGTTATATCTCCACAGCCGGTAGCCCGCGTCGTTCTCGCGTCATGCTCAATAACTACACCATCACGTACACCTAGTTTTTTTCAACATTGATGATGTTTAATACTGGTATAGAGTGGTAGACGTCGTAATCAAGACATTCACGTCCATTTTAACGTTTAAAGGAGAAATAGATGAGGAAGGGGGCTGTTTTCTCTCATGTCATATGGAAGTCAATTATTCAATTAGTCTTTTTGCTCTGGATAATTAGTACTTTTATGGTTAGGTTTTCTATTTTTTTTTCTCACTGTGGGGCGGCCAGATTTTTTCTACTATCAAACCGTATGGCTGGTATTTTCACCGCTTCCAGTTGTTGTGAAGTAGAAGGTCATGCGAGAAGACACTCATCGATCTGTGGACATTTTTCGTCTGTTGTCGCAAATTTTTTATCTCATAATTTCACACTTGAGGTGAATTACTCATTAGCATGACAATTATCGCCTCTGCGTGGATGGGAGATTATTGTTCGTCTCATTGATATTCGTGGGCATTGGAGCATCTGTTCCATCGGTCTAGGGGCAATGAAGAGAATTTTTATCATAGGTCTACACCTCTTGTTTGTGTTTCGTACGTGTAGCGCGCACTGTCGAATCATAATCGTCCTCTCCTTCTTTGCCGACTTTTCTGTCTCTCAGTGCGTTTCATTGGATGAGAAACAGTCTCCAAAGGATATTAACCCTCTCATGCGTTACACTAACGAGAACTGTATCGCGAAGTGGACATGGGGGGGAGGCTGCGTGTGTCGAGATCCGTAAGGATAATGCCGTGGGGCAGGATATAGCGCGCGATCGGTCTGGGAGGGGGTGGCGATTTTTACCGGGAGAGGGATAAATTGTTCTAGAGTTTATGGCGCGGACTTATGCGGGGAAATCACCCGGAATTTTATTTATGCGTCGGAGTTTCATTGACAGCATTTTTGCGATCTTATAGGGTAGGGTGGGGTAAAATGGACACAAGACTTTTTTATAGTTATTCATAACTCAGAAACAAATTCATTAATTGAGATCAGTTGAAGCTCATCACAAAGGGAAAGAATTTTTGTTTGTATTGAACAAAAAAATTATTAAATTTCATCAACATTTCAACTCGTCATTAACATTTTTAAAAAAGGCAAAAGTGTCTATTTTACCCCAACCTCCCCTAATGGTGGGGGACATTTTGATTGGAATGTTTGTAATTGGTTGAAAAAGTGAGGTGGTTTGGAGTAATTAAGGATATGCGGGTAGTTTGGCTATTTTTTCTTCGGTGGAATGATTTTATAGTTTCGTAGTCGAATAGCAGAGCTTTCATTTGAGACCCATTTGACCTTATGTTTCCGGACATTTCAGAGTGATTTTATTGTTTAAAGTTTGCAGGTCTGAAGTTGAATCTGGATGTTGAACCGTTAGAAAATATTTTTAAAATCAGGAAAAAAATTTGAAATTTCACTTTTGGAGGGAGATTGATGAAATAATTAAAAAATTGAATTTTTTGTAAATTATGAGCATTTTCTATAAATAATTTATAAACAAAGAATTTTCCACCGTAAAAATTGTTTTTTTGGAATCGCAACAAATTTATTCATATTCAGAATTGCAGCAGAAATCGATTTCATGCCTAAAAAAATAACGTTTCAGAGAGTTTAAACAATTATTTCTATTCGAATTCCGGCTATTCCTCCAGGCCATTTCGCAGTTTTCAGAAATTTTAACGATCAAAAATGAAATTAATTATCAATTCCTGCTAATTTGTCAGCGTTTAAACGTCAGCGTTTTAAACAATTGTTTCAACGTTGAACGTTTAAACAATTGTTTAGTTTATAAACATCGAATGTTTAAAAGAATGATAATTCTGAAATAAATTCCAAACGGAAGTTGATATGAATAAAAACATTCGGTTGAATTTGGGCTCAATCGGCAGTCTGATATTATTGATAATAATGACTTCAGAAATAACAAAATAACGCAGAGTCTTCTGAGGAAATTAATTTTTCGAGATCAGAAAAAACATTAAAATTTAGAAAAAGTCTAAAAAATAAAAATAGATAAATAAAAATTTTATGCCTAATACAAAATTATCGTCAGCGTCAAATATCGCAGATAAATAATTAGAGCTTTCATTTGAGCCCCATTTGATCTTAAGTTTCCGGACACTTCACAATGATTTCATTGTGTAAACTTTGCAGGTCTGAATTTGAATCTCGATATTAAACAGTTAGAAAACATTTTAAAAATCTGAGCAAAAATTAAAAAGTTTACTTTTAAAGGAAGATTGATGAAATAATTTAAAAATTGCAATTTTTCAAATTACGGGCAGCCGAAAGGTCATGGTCAATACTCAAGAACTTTAATGAGAATGGTTGTTTTCTCCAATCGAGCATTTGCGCAAAATTTCAATTCTCGAACAAACCTTCAGATACCACAGAAATACACCTAAGAAGATTTATTAGCACCCACTTATCTCCACTCCGAGTCCCTCCTGTCTGTCTTTCGTCGTAGACCAGGAACGACAGTGTGAAATATCGCGGCACAACACGAAATGGTCGTACCATTAGATGCACACGTTCACCTGGACTATTGAGTCACAGTATTTGCTTATACTTTGCAGAAGAAGAGGAATAAAGAGGTCAAGAGTGCGGAGGAGAATCCTGCAAACGGGCTGGCCCCGTTCGATGAAGATGATGATGATGAGAAGCTCCGGGAGATCGCCAGACGATTTGAAACCAAATACGTGAGTTTTTATCATTCTATATTTTTATTATATTCAAGTAGTCGTAATTTTTCTTGTCAAAATCCCCGGTAAAAATAGTAATTAAACGTCAGATCTGCATACAGTCCCAATTTTACTCTATGTTACTGGACATTTTGAATGATTTTACTATTCAAATTCTTCCATGGAAGAAAAATTTATGCAATTACTTTCTAGGGAAGATTCAATGAGAAATTAATGAAATAAAACCTGAAGATTTTTGAAAAATTTGAACAATTTTCATCATTTTTTTTCTAAAAAAATTATATTTGACAAAATATGTTGCAAAGTGTATTTTGAATGCAGCTAATTACACATTAATTTTTCTGAAAATGCTCTTATACAACCTATTTATAAACAACCAATGTTTAAAAAATAATTCTGTGCAAAATGTAATTTCATTGACGCTGAATATTCATGATCTTTTTAAATTTTTCTCACGCAATTTAATGGACAAATTTAATGATTGAAAATTGTTGATTCTATAGTAGAGTCTGTACCAAATTGTAAAAAATACTTGGAAATCCTTAAAAAAAAATCAAGAATCTCTCATGAATTCAATACAATTGACTGAAAATTAATTTACAAATGCCTTCAATTCAATTTACTGAATGATTTGGATTCTGCAGGGAGGTAATACAGTTGGGAAAAACCGCAAGAAGTATGATGACGATGTGGACCTAGGAGCAGGATACGATGAGAATGATTCGTTCATCGATAATACTGATGCGGTAAGTCCTCATTAATTCTCCAACGCCCATTGAAATAATCAAAAATGTTTCACTACCATTTCCAGTACGATGAGGTCGTCCCAGCGGATGTCACGACAGCCTATGGAGGATTCTACATCAACAGTGGACCCCTCGAATTCAGTGTTAAAGCAGCCGAACGTAATTCCCTCATGCATCGCAACAATAATAATAACAACGAAAATGATACTAGTGAAAGTAGTGATGATGAGGTTGAAAACAGCAATAGTTCAGTGTCGAAAAGAAGGGGTACACGTAGTCTCAGTTCATCCGATGGGGATGACACAGAGGAGAATGCCAGTGAGCCTCCACCGAAGGTATTTGCAGGGACAAAAAAATTTCATAGAAAATCTTAACGAATTCTTCGGAAAATTCGATTTCTCTTGATCTTCTATTGAAAATTCTATTAGTTTTTAGACAATTCTATTGAAGAATTCCGTAGCTTTACTGCACGTTTTTTTAATAGAAAATGTCCAATAGAAACTAATTTATAGAAAATATCACTTAAATTTCATCTCTCTATACAACTTCTTCCATTGAAACATTTTCTACAGGAATTCTTCGACATGAATTTTCTAATGTTTCCACTCTTTTTCTTCTCTTGGTATTCAGAACCAATGAGTTTTCTATAGAAAACATCTCAATAAGTCGTTTAGAAAAATCGAATTCTGTTGATTCTTTCTACAAGATATTTTCAATTGAAAATTTCTATTTAAAAAAGAAACGGTGATGAACTGCGGAGTGTTTAGAAGAATCAATAAAAAACTAATAGAAGTTCACTAGAATATTCTAGCGCATTCTTAAGATTTTTCATAGATTTTTTTATGACATTTAAATAATTGATTTCAGAAATCGAAAATGGATGAAAATGGTGAGAAGAAATCCAATCACGAGGGTGTTCCCAAGAAAAGAAAAAAGCTCACTTCCGATCAAGAAGGAGAATACACCAGATCAAAAAACCCAGTCGAGGTTAAACGTGAGATTATGGAGATCGATCGAGTGCCAAACGAGAATCAGGAAGAGCGAAAAAAATCAAAGGGTGATTTACCGAAGAAGGACAAGAAATTCGATCTAAAGAAATTTGAGAAAAAGTCCACGACCAATGGTCTCGATGAGAAGAAGCCCCTGGACCTGAAGAAACTCGGTGGCAAGACTGCTAACATCGATGATGCTATTGAGAGTGTCGTCAATGATGGAAAAATCGACGACGAATCCAGTCGTGACACTGTGGACTCCAACAAGTCACGTTGTGGAGCTGTTGGCACATCTTCGGATGGCGAGGACAACGACAAAGCTGAGTTACCTCTCCTGGATCAACTTCCAGAGGACATCAAGGAGATTATTAGTAAATTGAAGAAACACGTGCTCATCAACAAAGATCGTAAAACCAAGATCTTCGATGCCAATGTTAATTCCACTTTGCTTCATCTCGAGAAAAAATTGAAGAGGCTGGATTCATCGTCAGCTCGATCCCAGGTCTACAGTCATATATCAGATTTTATGGGAGTGGGCAAAGTGACGATAATCAATCGTGCCAAGAAACTGTGCGTTCAGGATGCTGACAATCGCGTTAGTGGACCCATTCAAAGGTAAATTATTAGCTTTTTCACTTGTTTAGTTGAGGTTTTGCATGGATATTCTATTATTGGACATGAGAATTGAGCGAAAAATATTAATATAGATTTTTTTATTTCAATGAACAAATAATTAAAAATCATATCATAATGAGTCATAAGCAGGGATGGGTTTGTACAGACAATTAAGTTATCGATGAATTCATTGCATTCGGAATTAGTAACCATTATAGAAAATTTGACCCTTATTTATTCAGCTGTCAATTAAAAAATGGAAATTACTGGTTACTTCTGCAAATTTTCTCTCTCACTAATGATCTTTAATGAATATTACGAAAAATAATGACTAATGCTGATTTCTGATCGTAATGCAGGAAAAATACGGAAAAATTTCATAGAAAAACCTAGCGAGTTCGTTAGTTCTATTGAATTTCCATTAAAATTTCTATTATTTTTTGGTCGATTCTATTGGAATATCTATGAATTATTTTTTTCAATAGAAATGCTTAATGGAAAATATTCCATAGGAAAAGATCAGTGGAATTTAATTCTTCTATTGATATTTTTACACACATAAAATAAAATAGAAATATACGCAGCAAAATATAAAATAATTTGTGCAGCAGATTTTCTGTTACAAAAAAAGTCTGATATTATTCTAATTTTCCTATTTGAAATTTTGTTCAGTAAAAGAATTCCATGCAACAACTCAATTATTACGATAATTGCATCAACGTGTTATTGAGGAATGGTATCAAAATTACCCACCCTAAAATAGTTCTGAATTCTCCCAGGTTAAGAACGATAATTAACGAGACCATGCCGATGGTTGAGGAGAAGTATAACATAGAATGCCAGAGGATTGTCGATGAGAAGTAAGTGACTATGTTCATTCTACATATTTCCTCATTTCGGTGGATGAAATAGATAATGTGTGGGTGTGAAATAATTGGGTTTATGATACTCATTGCTATCTTCTGTTTCCCCAGCCCTCATATATTCTGGAATGTTTATCGGTACTGTGGGTAAGCTGCCCCCAACCCAGACCTCTTTCGAATTCGTTTCATTTCTCTTAGATTTTTTTGTAAATCTATTTCACGTTTTTTGTTGGATTCCTGTGAGAGGATTGTCGATTTTTCGTTTTCTATTCTCCCCATGAAGGACCATTAATTTTATTTGTGAGATTGAATCAATGGAGGAGTGGTGGAATGATGAGTTCACTGAGGTTGAGTTGAGATTTTGATGAATAGTTGGATACCTCAGGCAGATAGTGGCATTCTTTTGAATCCAAGTACCAATCATCAAATTTATCGGTTAAAAATGTGCAAAATTCATACATATTCTGCATTTTTAATACTAATAACCTGGCGATTTATTGATGAGAATTTCTCAAAGCAAGTTTTTTCAATTTTTTCTCAATTAAATTGCGTGAAAAGAGAAAGAAACCGTGAATATTCAGCGTCATTCAAATTGTGTTTTACACAGAATTATTATTTTTTTAGACATTCGTTGTGTATAAATGAATAATTGAAATTGCTTAAACTTTTAGAAACCTCATTTTTTTAGACATGAACTCGATTTCTGATAAAATTATGAATATGAATAAATTTCTACGATTCCGAAAAAGTGATTTTTATGGTGGAAAATGGATAGTTCGAAGTTATTGATAGAAAATCCTCGTAATTTACAAAAAATGCAATTTTTAAATTATTTCATCAATTTTCCTCTAAAAAAATATTTTTCAACGGTTCAATATCGAGATTCAGACCGATTCAGTAAAATGTCCGGAAAATTAGGATTAAATGGAGCTCTGATGTGCGACTACAAAAGTAGAAAAGTATTTCACTGGAGAAAATATAGCCAAAGTACTTCGATATCCTTAAATGCTTTTGTGATTCTTCAAAATGCTGGCAATCCTCTTGAGACATTCAATGTGCATTATCGTCATGAAATTATTCCACTGAAATGTAGAAAGAGGTGCTCGGGGCTTTTTATCATCAGTATCATCGCCCATTTCCACAAATCAACATTATCAGAATAAAATCTCATCATTGCATCGACAGTAACTCGTATTTTTCTCTTCTTTACAATGTAGAAGGTTTCCAGCTTCGGTATCAGATGCCGACAGTAGCGAAGCTGATGACAAGACGTTGGACAAGTCAAAATTTCCGACTAAACGATACCCTTGGTCTTCAGAAGCGAGGTATGTATCAATTCCAAATTCCAAACTCCAAAAATCCTAGGATTTCTACTTTTGACGTGAAACTTTGCTCTCATAGTTGTCATATTTTCACAGGAAATTGGTATGCGAAATTGCAACTATATGGCGGCATTATTATACCATTCGAAAACCGAGGAAAGAGAGTGTAGAAACATTTGTAACATCTTTTTTGGAGACCAGGGTCTTGACTCTCTGGCCCAAAGGTTGGATGAGATTGAATATTTTATTGAAATATTCAAAGCCTGAGCCATCGTGAGTACAACCACAATCACTATTAACATTTTTATCATTTTTTATGCATTAATGCATGATTGGGGATATGCAGTTGGAACAACTCCTGCGATGATATTGCTTTCTAATTTTTTTTTTCTAATATGAGAACTGTGAAACTAATTGGCTTTAATCAGTCAGGATCAACTGAATGTAATACAACTGAAATCCGTCCATTTCATGAATAATGAAAAAGGTCAAAATTTTCAAAAACATTCTGATATCATCTTCTGGTACAGTAGAATGATTTTTCGGGTGAAAAATTTATTGTTTATAAATTATTAATAAAAAAAATCGTTATCATGTAATCATGAAATGAATCTTCCTCAAGATGGGGAAGAAAAATGACATGTTCATAGTCTAAATGTTTAGCTTGAATGCAAGCTCTGATATTTACCAAAGAATCTTTAGAGACGATTTCAATGAAAATAAGTGCTTAGATATCCTTAAGATACAGTTTATTAATGCAATAACTTAAGAATGATTTTTATAATATTCACATTCAATAACAATTATCAATTGATAATTCAATATTTACAATATTTATGAATATTGCTGATTCTATACTTTATCAATAATCCTAGGAATTATTCATGGAATCGATGAATCTCGATCTTTGATTTCAGTTTGATTCATCAATTGTGTTACATCCAACTGTCTTGTCCCACTGCACCACTTATATATCTACAATTTTTTCAAAATAATCTACCCTGCTTTTAATTGCTGACTAGTGTTGGAATAAACACTCTTATCCTCCTTCGCATGTAGTTTTTTTATTATTTTCTGGTGGTTGTATGTTCTAGGGAGGTGTTTATATTGGATGAAACTGTATAATAATGCTCTCGTCACTTGGATCGCTAAATAATTTCATTTGCGGACCACTAATGCTCAATTCCTTAAGTTTCTCGTTATTTTTAAAAATCTACAAGCGAAAAAAAAAATCGTCAGTCATCAAATAGTAATTCAAGATCTCATTGCGTGTTTTTGTTCGCTATTTATTTTGTTGCATCGTCTTCTTTTGTGTTCACCGGAGATCAAGCGCTGGTACCTTGACTACGTAAATTCACAGCTTCATCAGTTCCATTGTAAAAAAAAAACATGAATTATTCGTTAAAAAATTGAAAACATACGACTTTTCATTTTCATTCCACGACTGATAGATGCGTTTTTTTGTACACATTTGTTATCTAATTTTGGCAAAATAAATTTTCTTTATTCTCTTTAATTCGAGAAACCTTAACGCTGCACTTTTTTTTTCAATCACACTTCACTGGTCACTAGCTGCACTGGTAACTTTCTTGGCTACAATTTCTGGTATACTTGGAATTTTTTATCACATAATTCCACTGAAATTTCAAAGAATTTCGTCATTGGCAATTCCAACTTTTATGGAAAAATCAATGGAAACAGTGAAATTCAGTTCAATTATTCCATGAACATTGATAGAAATAAGGAAAATTCTGGTAAATGCATTCTTCATTCTTTTCAGATAATTAAAAATTCAGCGTAATTTGGTATTGAATATTCAGATTTTGTATTCAAAATTCAACTAAACTGTAGATTTTTAATTTTCCGGTCGCCCAAACATTAGATTCCATCGAATTTCACTGTAATTTGAAATTTCATCATTCTTTTTCCACAAATGCAATGTCATTCTCCAAAAAATTCCTAGTCACCTGTCCCCAAAACTTCAATTTTTTTCTAAAACCACGGCCAATCTCCCCAGCTTCAGAAATTCAAAGCTCAACCGAAAAGAAACCAAATCCAATTAAATTTGTTACAGTGCCAAGAGAAAACCGAAAAAACAACGGGACCCAACAGTCCCAAATAATCAATCATCCCCAGCAGTTTCAAACTGCCCCGTATCATCGGAAATGACAAATGCCAATCCCACCGTGGCTCCCAGTACCCAAGAGCGCGCCAAGACTCCGCCGTCTTTTACCGATAATTTTTCAGCCACCAATCATACATTCGGACTGCCACCGCATTCATCAAAGCCCTCAGATCTAATAATTGAGAAGAAACAGGCGACAAAATACAAGGAAAAGCACAAAGAATCCTCAACATCTAGTCAATTGGATAATTCAAGTCCAGTCCAGCCAATGGCAAAGATATCAGTTGTTCCGACCGCGCAATTGATGGCGCAAAAGCCCAAGAATCATCCAGACAAATTCAATCCCCTTGATCTAACAAGTAGCTCACTGTCAATAACTCCCGTAAACGATTACCCAAAGTCAGGAAAATCCCACACCGAAGTGAAGAAAGACGTTGTATCGATAACTCCGTATTCAGAGTCCCCAACAGCAATCAGTGTGATCACTGAGCCATCTCATTCAATAAAATCCGAATCAATGTCTTACTCGATATCAAATCAAAATTCTAGCTCGAAACCGCTGTCCCTCAAACAAAGGATATTGCAGGACAATCCTGATACGAAAATAGAGAAGCGCTTTGATGAGCGTGAGGTGATTGATCCTTATAAAATCGAACACAAAGAGAAGAAGCGAGACAGATGGTCGGAGGAGAAGCACAAGTCTCATGATCCCAAGAAACGTCGCAAAGAGCACAAGTCTTTGGAGCAGAATCAATCGTTAATGCACTCGAAGGCTGATGTATCAAGCGTAATACAAGCACCAATGCTCACAAAAGAGGAGCAGGAACAGAGGCAGATTGAAGAGACGATGGCTGCCACCAATTACCTCAGTCAGATGATCAACGACGATTCAGCTCGTGCGACGAATGAAAAACGCAAAGAACCGGGGGTCATGGGGGAGGATGGCATTGGTGGTATTGTTCAACCGAATGATGAACAGGACAAAGACGTTCAAATGGTAATGCGATCATTGAAAGAACTCCAAGAGTTGCAATTGCCTAAATCAAGCAGTCAGTATGGCTATACTGATGATTACCATCGACTCTTTCCGAAGAAAGAAGAAAAAGTTAGACTTTCTAAGGAGGATCAATGGCAGTTACAATAAAGTGCAAGAGATGCTTCCATTTATTTTAATAGAGCCCAGTCGTTCATTGGTTGAATGAGGAACTATGGTGTTTCAGTTTGGCGGGGGTGTCCATTAATCATGTGATGCCATTTACGCAATTCCCCCTCCCCAGGACTGCTATCACGTGAGTTTTTTTATGACAATAAATTGATGAAGAGAGATGATGCAAAAATGGAAAGAGTACATGTACTTTTTACAGCTTGGTGAGAAACACATTATTGATTCAGAGATTTTTAATTATTAAATTTGTCAATTAAATTGCGTCAAGTAAAATTTACATTTTACAGGAAATTATCCTTGCTTTAAAATTTAAAAGGATGATAATTTTGGGTAAAATCTGAATTGAATGAAGTTGAAATTCCAAATTTGAATGTGAATTTTATACAAAATTATCCTTCTTTCACATTTAAGTTTTAATCATTGACTTTTTATAAATAAATAATTGAAATTGTTTAAATTTTTGGAAATGTCTTCACGCAGAATGTCAAATATGCATTCAATAGACCTAAATTCCTTGACCATTTGGTAGAATTGTTTCTGAAACTAGAAGTGAAATTTGACAACACATTGCGACAACATTAATTTAAACTTCAATTAATGAAAATAAATACATGGGATATTCCCCCCCCCCCCCCCCCAAAAAAAAAAAAAAAAAAAAAA